AATAAATTAAAAAAGTTTATACAAATTGCCCGTTTTAATAGAAAAAAATGAATTTGAATAGGAGAGATTATATAAAATAAATTATTATTAGTTGGTTATTGTTTATTACCTAGAATCTATGGATATAAGATATTATTTTTGAAATAGGTTTGTACATTCAATATATTGTTAAACTATTATTCTTTGTTTCATTTTATAAGTGTTATTCCCCTAAAACTGAATTCGTGTAAATGTTTTTTTGGGTATCTAATATTTCTAAGTCTGTACTGATTATATTGATATTAATTTGAAAGAAAGGCACGTCAAGCATTGAAAATTATGATACAATAAGTATATTCTTAAACTTTTCTATTAGTCGTTCAATTCTATACAGTTTGATTCAATTCTATTTAAATGAATACCCCAGGTATTTCTTTACTTTTAACACAACCAAATTATTGTAATTCTCATGCTTAACAAACAATACGAATAGGTTATTTAGTTATTTTATAAATAATTGAAAACTACATTAGGTACTCTTTAATAATTAATTATGATTTTCTTATAGGTATATACGAAAATATTTATTTAACACATGTTCCAGTGTTTATTTTTTTTTTTTGTTGAATAATATAATGTATTTCTTTTTTTAGGGTTTCTTCTTACAGGTTAATGCAACAGTTGTTTGCAAAGTAGCTAAAATAGCGTTCGAAAGGAAGCGGCAGTTTCTATTCAATTTGAGCGCTCCTTTTATTTACCATCATTACATGGACTTTGTTATGTCGGTTTATCCTTATATTAATATTATTATAGGCAACGACTTAGTTAGTAACATAAAATGATTATTAATTTATAACAATTGTATTATATCGTTACAAATGATGATGAATTACAACATTTTAGGAAGCTAAAGCTTTTTCCGAAGGAAATAAATGGAAATTAAATTCCATAGAAGACATTGCTCATAAAATGAGTACCTTACATGTTGAACATATTGGACATCGTTTAATAATTATTACTCAAAGTGAAAAGCCAGTGATTGTTGTAGAAAGTAAAATATTGCATTGACTATAGTATTACATAAATGTTGTAGAGCTATTAGTGACCTTTTTAGAGTAGTGAATTCATATAGTTCAGAA